CCCTATCCAGCTGAATTCCTGAGAGGAGACGAAATCCAGGTCTCCTACTCCTCTGCCATCTTGCTCCGCTCCCCCCAATCTAGGATGATTAATATTGAAATCCTTAACTATATCCAGAGAAGGTCATATTGGCAGAAATTGGGGAATAGGATGTAGACATATTATTTTTGTAGATTATTAGTCAACCCATTAAAAGTAAAATTTATTACTTAAAATAATGTCAATACATTTTAAAAATCAAACATCATGATCAAGTAGGATTTATTCCCAGAATGCAACAGTGGATCAATATCTGTGAAACAATCAATGCAATATGTCACATGAATAAGAGAAAGGATAAAAACCATACAATCATTTAAATAGATACAGAAATAGCATTTGACAAAGTACAATATCCATTCATCATAAAAAGCCTCTGCAAAGTAGGTAATAATAAGTATGCAAACATAATAAAGGCCTTATGTGAAAAATTCACAGCCAACATCATACTCAATGGTGAAAAAGTGAGAGCTTTCCCCCTTAGGTCAGGAACAAGACAAGGATGTCCACTCTCACCACACTTACTCAACAGAGTCCTAGAAGTCCTAGTCACAGCAGTTAGAACACATAAAGAAATAAAAGGCATCCAAATTGGTAAGGAAGAAGTAAAACTCTCCCTACTTGCACATGACATGGTACTCTATATAGAAAACCCTAAAGACTCTACCAAAACACTACGAGAACTGATACATAAATTCAGTAGTCATAGGATACAAAATCAATGCACAGAAATCTGTTGCATTCCTATATGCTAATAATGAAGCAGCAGGAAGTGAAAATAAGAAAAGAATTCCATTTATAATTGCACCCAAAACAGAAAAATATCTAGGAATAAACTTAACCAAAGAGGTGAAAGGCCAGTACTCTAAAAACCATAAAACAGTAATAAAAGAAGTTCATGATGATGCCAAGAAATGGAAAGACATTCTCATGGGTTGGAAGAACAAACATCTATACTACCCAAAGCAATCTACAGATTTTATGCAATCCCTATCAAAATACCAACAGCATTTTTCACAGAACTAGAACAAAGAATCCTAAAATTTGTTTGGAACCACCAAAGACCTCAAATAACCAAAGCAGTCTTGAAAAAAAAATGAAAAAGAAGAGAAGCAAAACTGGAGGTATCACAATTCATTACATAACAAGTTACATTGCAAAGCTATAGTAATGAAAGCAGCATGGTACTGGCATAAAAACAGACACATAGATTAGTAGAATAGAACAGAAAACCCAGAAATAAATCCACAATTATATGGTCAATTAATCTTCAGCAGAGGAGGAATGAATATGCAATGGGAAAAGGACAGTCTCTTCAACAAATGGTGTTAGGAAAACACATTGCGGCCACATGTAAAAGAATGAAACTGGACCACTTTCTTGTACCATACACAAAAGTAAACTCAAAATGGATTAAAGACCTAAATGTGAGACCTGAAACCATAGGAATCCTAGGAGAGAGCACAGGAGGTAATGTCTCTGACATCAGCTGTAGGAACATTTTTCTAGATCTGTCTGTTGAGGAAAGGGAAATAAGAGCAAAAATAAACTATTGTGACTACAACAGAATAAAAAGCTTCCACACAGCCAAAGAAACAATCAACACTAAAAGGCAACGTCCTGAATGGGCAAAGATATTTGCATATGACATATCTGATAAAGGGTAAATATCCAAAATATGTAAAGGACTGAAACAACTCAACAGAAACAAAAATAATCCAATTAGAAATGGACAGAAGACATGAACAGACGTTCTCCAAAGAAGACCTACAGGTGGCCAATGGACCCATGAAAAGATGCTCAGTGGCACTCATCATCAGGGAAATACAAATCAAAACTGCAATGAGATGCCACTTACACCTGTCAAAATGGCTAAAATCAACAACACAAAAAACAACTTATTGGCAAGGATGTAGAGAAAAAGAAACCATTGTGCACTGTTGGTGGAAATGCAAACTGGAGCAGCCATTGTGGAAAACAGTATGAAGTTTTCCCAAAAAAATTAAAAATAGAATTACCATATGATCCAGTAATTTCACTACCAGGTATTTACACAAAGTATATGAAAACACTAATTAGAAAAGATATATGCACCCCTATGTTTATTGCAGCATTATTTACAATAACCAAACTATGGAAGCAGCCCACATGTCCCCTGATAGATGAATGGATAAAGAAGATGTGATATAGATAGATGATAGATAGATAGATAGATAGATAGATAGATAGATAGATAGATAGATGATAGATAGATGATAGATGATAGATAAATGATAGATAGATAGAATAATGTATGTATATAATGTATATAATGTGTGTATATATATATAATGAAATATTATTCAACCATAAAAAAGAGTGAAATCTTGTCATTTGCAACAACATGGATAGAGCTAGAGAATATAATGCTAAGCAAAATAAGTCAGTCAGAGAAAGGCAAATAGCATATGATCTCACTTATAAGGGCAATTTAAGAAACAAAACAAATGAGAAAAGGAAAAAAAGAAAGAGAGAGAAACCAAAAAACAGACTATTAATTATACAGAACAAATAGATGGTTACCAGAGGGGGGTAGATGAGGGGATGGGGGAAATAGGTGATGGGGATTAATGAGTGTACTTATCATGATGAAATAACATTTAAAAAATTATAAAATAAATTAATATCACTGGATTCTTTTACTTTTTTAATGTGACCACCAAAAAGTTAAAATTACATGTCATGCTTGAATTATTTTTCTAATGGACACACTGGTCTGTGATTTAAAAAGCTAATGATACAAACTGAGGGTTCTAGAGGGGAAGGGGGTAGGGGGATGGGTTAGCCTGCTGATGGGTATTAAAGAGGGCATGTATTGAATGGAGCACTGGGTGTTATATGCAAACAATCATGGAACACTACATCAAATACTAATGATGTAATGTATGGTGATTAACATAACATAATAAAATAAAATTTTAAAAAATGATTAAAAAAAAAGCTAATGATAGTCCTCTCCCCACAAGATCTTTTCCCATTTATTTTATTTAATGTGCTTCAGTGTGATCTCAAAGAAAATTAACAATAACATAACCTTAAATTAGCACAGCTTCATATATCGCCATGTTTAATTTTCATCATTTCTATATGCTAAAGTTGTACTTACTTTTTACATTAAAAAAATCTACCTCTAAAAGTCTTAGTGTTTGTTTTGCTTTCTTATTCATGTGCAAAAACTTGGTATGTGAGAGCCCAACTCTTGAATTCAAATCTTCTAATTTGAATAAACTACTTTGCTTTAAATAATCCCAAGACCAAGATCAATCATCCTCTTCAATAATTGGGGGTTAGTTCCCATATACAGTGTCTATCTCTTGATCAGAAAATCTCTGAATGTGAGGAGCTCTGGTCATTGCTGTTTCTCCATCTCTAACTCTGGGCATACAGGAAGACATCCCAGGACCAGAGACTACTAGGACTAGAACTTATCAGACTAGAGAATTCTGACACTGGCTGAAAACTCATTTGGCATTCAGAAATACAGATTGTAATATAATAGATCATAATATCTACCATAATAGGAATAATTTTACTAGAGTATTGAATGAACTTTGAACTCCTGAACATTCTTTCTCTAAATATATTATGAATACATTATTTCTCTAAATACAGACTGTATCAGGTTAAATTTCCCTTAAAGTCAAGGGTGAATCGAGCCCCACCCTCATCCTACTTGCTGCAGCCTGATCAAATATGAATGAATATGTTTTAATGTTCCTGTTGTGTGCCTTTGGGGTTATAAAATATTATCACTCATATGTCTAGAAGAATCACAGAGAAGGTGCAGGAAACCATATGGGGCAGAAAGTAGAGAATCTGATTAACAAACATGTAGCAGTGCAAAAGAGCAAAATATATTTCTTAAATAATTTTATAAATGAAGACCAGGAGATGGACCAGAGAGGTAACAGGGGATTGGGAAGGGCCATGAAAGGAGAAAAAGCACATTAAGAATTACCTTGAAACTAGAAATTGGCATCTGTGGCCTCAGAGATTTTAATTTGTCATGCCATGAATTTCATCCTTCTCAAAGCTTCAAATTACTTCTTTCCTATCTGTCATAGCTTTGGCTCAGGTTCATTGGCAATGCTTAACAACTAATATTGATTTGAACTGCATGCTCTTAAAATGATCTTTGTTCCCTTGAATTCACTTATTCACTTTTAAATGCAATTTTAACAAATGTTAAGAAGATAACCCTAATTTTATCTCCCTTTAGGATCCATCCTTTACTGCTTTGCTAGCTACTCAAACGCAAGTCCAAAAAGAGATTGTAAATAAACACAATGAACTAAGGAAATCAGTCTCTCCACCTGCCAGCAACATGCTAAAGATGGTAAGAGGCAGCAATAAAAGCTAATGGTGTGAATCAGCAGTGATAAGAGCAGGGAGCTGGTAACTGGCATCTCTTAAGAACTTTGTGCTTACAAAGTTTTGCTTCTATTCTGCTATTTTATTTGAGCTGGGCATGCAGAAATTAATTTTCATTTTTAATGGTTAAATAATCTAGCAAGGGTGTGGGGCTATTAAGTCGGGAAGGCAAAATTAGAAGCCAGATCTTCAGATACCAAGTGTGAAGCCATTGCACTTTTTGTTCACTATCTGCCCTAGCCTAAAATAAAGGAGGTCCTTTTCTTTCATGTATTTTATTATTTTTAAGTAATCTCTATGACAACGTGAGGCTCAGACTCAGGAGCCGAAGAGTCCTGTGGGTAAATACGAGCCCACTTTCCATAGCATAGTTCATAAACACTAGACTATCTTCCATTTGAATGCAATGGGCTGCAAGTGGAATTGGGAATAATCTAGGCCTGCTTATTACTAAGGAAATATAATACAAAGACTTCACACCTTGAGTATTTAGAGTAGCCCCATTACTAAAAATCCTACATGTGGTTCCTGTACTATCATAAATTGTCAGATATTATATTAGATATTTCTATCATTAGACACATCATTTATGAACTTCTCTTCATGTGGATATTGGCACTGGAGCAGATAAACACACACACACACATATATACCCCTAACAAAAAGGTCTTTACATACCACTAACGATCAGATACTACATAGAAGTTTAAAGTAGTGTAAATCAACCTACCAATCAGATTATAAACCATATGCTTTGTTGGAGTTGAATCTTTAAGTGTATTTTTTTCTTGTGACATTTAGGAATGGAACCGAGAAGCAGCAGCAAATGCCCAAAAGTGGGCAAACAAGTGCACTTTAGAACATAGCGTGCCAGAGGACCGAAAAACGAGTATGTAAATGAGTATTTTTTGAATAAATTAACAAATAAAATAATATTGGAAAAATCAAATAGAATGGAACATTCTGGGGTGTTATAAGAAGATTTCGAGAATAAATGTTGCTTATACTGCTCTATTTATTTATTATTT